AGAGAGAGAGAGAGAGAGAGAGAGAGAGAGAGAGAGAGAGAGAGAGAGAGAGAGAGAGAGAGAGAGAGGATGAGTTCCTGGAGTGTAGAGTAAACGTTGGAGAGAGGGGGAGAACGAGAGAAAGAGAGCGGTTACCTGGTTCGAGTGTGCTGGCGATAGTGGGCAGCTTGTACCTGAAAACAATTTCGTATATTAATGAAGTGTTTGGAGAGCGCTTTATCATCTTCTTGTGTATTGATTATGGTTGCGTTGCTTGGTGTGAAACTTTTGTGACTCTTCAGTGTTCTGCACGTTGGGTTGGCGATTGATTGCAGTCGGGCTCATTGCATGATTGATGGACTGAGGGATTTTTTTTCCCGCATTCATGACAATGGGTGTGCATTTTCTTGCTTGTTTGTGCAGTTTGGGGCCAGGCACTTACACCTGCGAGCTGAAGCTGAAGACTACACAACTCTGGCATTGAATTTCCCAGTTTTCTCATGCTGCAATATTTTGCCCTCCTCTCACTCCTATGAACAAACACTTCATGACCGTGTTTGCTGTAAGTTTGCCAACTTGAAGATGTTAGGACTTACCTATTTTACAACAGCTAGCATTCACGCAAACCACCCCACTAACGCATGTCAACCATAGGTACGTGACCCGTAATAGAAACCATGGCAAACTCACATCGATGATCGAACTCATAGCACCTGACAGCTACCGTAGTTGGCAGTCAACCCACAGCAGCAAATTCACAACGAACTCGCATCTCCAATCGCAGTTATCTCACTACTACTGAAAAAAAAAAAAAAAAAAAAAAAAAAAAACAAAAAAAAAACCTCCCAGCTAACTCACAGCTAATTCAAACTAGCCGACAGCTAATTTCAACTGACTGGCAACTATGTGAAATAAGGTTTTTTTAACTTTTTTTCCTTTTTTGTGGTTGAGAAAAACAAAAAAGGATCCTTCTATTTCGGGGAGTGGCAGTCTGGTTCCTTGTCCATCGGCAAGTCTGCAGAATGCAAATGAAAATCACACACGCTCCTCCCCATTATGGCTGAGAGGTCCAAGCGGGCGGCATTGATTACTTATATATATAAGTTAACGCTAACTGACGACATTGATTACTTAATATATATATAAGTTAAAGCTAACTGACAGGTAATTTGCAGTCTAGCAACCGCAAACTCACAGCTCACTCAAATCAACTCAGACTTGACTCACAGCTATAACTCAACTCGCAGCCAACTCAGACCTAGCTCGCAGCCTACTGACCCGCCAGGCAACTTGCAATCGACTGAATAATCGACAGTCACCCCAAGTCAATGCACACAGTCAACCCACAGTCAACCTGCAATCCACCGCCAGTCAACCGATAGTTTTTTTTGTTCTTGTTTCTCTTTCTTTCCACAGTCAACCCCCGATAGTTAACCACCAGTAAACTCACAATTCATCGACAGCTAACACGTTGTCCACTTGCAGCTAACTGAGCTAAGTCAACACACACACTCACTCACAACGATGGTCAGCGCTTGTAACTAACTCACAGTCAACTCTGCGCTAACTCAAAGCTCAAAGCTCAAAGCTCAAAGCTCAAAGCTCAAAGCTCAAAGCTCAAAGCTCAAAGCTCAAAGCTCAAAGCTGAGTGCGGGCCGCTTGCAGCTCAATATCTCACAGCTAACCCGCAAGCAACTTCCAACTTGGAACTAAGTAACAGCTACCTTGCAGCGAAGTCAAGAGTCCAAAGTGACTACCGTCTTCACCCGAATAGAACGCCCGTCACCCGGTCATTATAACTGTATTTGGGGCAACTTGTGGTCTAGATACAGCGATAAATACCGGGCGTTCTATTCGGGTGAAGACGGTAGCAGCTCACCAACGTTAATTCACTGCTCGCTCGCTCACATCTTAGTTCGAAACCTCCTAAACAGCCAAACTCAGACAGAACAGATTCACTGCTAATTGCTCGCTAACGACGCTAACCCACATCTTTTTTTTTTTCTTTTCAATTTTTTTTTTAATAAAATTAAATTTGGACCATTTCTCGATTTATGCGTGTCATCCTTGCGCAGGGGCCATGCTAATCTTCTTCCTTCTCTGTATCAATTTTATTTTTAACGGATGTCCCGAAGGACACTAGGCTCACTAGCTAACCCGCATCTAACTCACGGCTCGCTGAGAGATGACTGACTGAGTGACTGCAAACTCACACCTGAGACACGGGTTCCCTTTTCTTGAAGCCCCTCTCTCCAAGTGATAATAATTTTACGCCCATCCTTTACATGAGTTAAGTGGCTGGCTAGTAGTACCTGCCAGTTGGGCTGCATGCTACATTGTCTTCAAACCGTTGGTGGAGAGTTCGGATATCGTTGGACACACACAATCATGTCAATAAAACATAGCCCAGCCGAATAATTGGTGGTGGCCCTGGTGGGCTATTTGCAACTCCACGCACAGCACAGCACAGCACAGGACAGCACAGCTGCCAGTTTGACACTCTCTTCCGCGCCAGCTTTGCCTTTTTTGTTGTATGAGGCAGGTGTGTCTGACAACCATGCTCTAGCAATTTTTTTTGCGTAATTTCTATCCTATGATTCCTAACAAATTAATCATCTGAATACAGTTTTCGTAGTGCATGTGACACACAAGACCATGCTCCGAAATTTCTACCCAAGGTCTATAGAAACTGCACTCCTCTCTGACACAACTGACTGGCGCTTCGGCAAAAAAAAAAAAACATTCTCTTCGAGCTGCTCGCCTTCTTGGAACATTGTCACTGTTATCTTTCTTTCTTGTCAAACCTTGCACTGACTCTGACGGTCTCGACTCTCCACGGATTTCAAGAATAATTTTTCGTACTCCATCGTTGAAGAGAAAGATAAAGTCTTCTCTAATTTTGTATTTTTTATTTTTTCTTTACTAATTTACTAATTTCTCCTTGCTCATTCAGGGGGGGTTGGGGGTTGTTGGGTGGGTGGCAAGAGTAAGTCATTGTTAAAGCACCCCTACTACTTCTGAGTCCTGACCCTACAGTACAGGTCCAGCACTTCTGGCTGCTGCGGGCTCTTTTCTTTTCTTCTTCTTCTTCTTCTTCTTCTTTTTCTTCTTCTTCTTCTTCTTCTTCTTCTTCTTCTTCTTCTTCTTCTTCTTTAAGGTTGAGAAAGATACAATATATAGTAATGAAGAAGATGACCTGAGCAATGAGCATTACTTTCATGGCGACATCAACTTCTCCATTGCCTCACGGTGGTAGGAGAGTCGAACCATACTGGCCACGATATCCACCCCACCCCTGCATGGCTGTCGTGTCCTTAACTCGCTCACACCACACAGAACACACCACTTAGGACTTAACCTCCACCCACAAGTAGGCAATTTTTGTCGCACACCTTGCTCTTCGTCAGCACATGACCGGCCGCTGCTACATGCCAGCAAGTTACCTGCTCTGTAAGATGTAAAGGTGAGGTGGTGGTTGTTTTTTTGAAAGGCTTTCTGTTTTGAAGTTTCTTTCTCACAATCACAGAACTGGTGGGCTCAACATATGGGTCTACAGCAAGCAAGCACACTAATTTGCAACAGGGTATCCCTGCTGTAATAATTTGCCCCCAGTTTATTATGATAAATTGACAGGTAAAAGTTACTAAAAACTACTGAATTGCATGCAGCATAATTGCGTACAATTTCCAGGTTTTTTCAAACAGATTGACTTTACAACTCCCAGTTTTGTGTGCTTGTATGAACTACTACTTGGGTATTCCTCTGCTTTTGACTGAATACTACAGTGAATACAATAGCCTGCTTGCATGGACTGTGAAAATGTTTCCACAACTTCCCTGTCATGAGCAGACGATCATATACATAGTACTGCTTGCCTTTGTTATGAATTACTAAAAGGCTAAAAGCTCTATGCTTCCACCGTTCCACTTAATGAGAATGCTAGCTTGATTTGTGTGCATGGCACTGTATGCAAATATTATAATTAATAGACTGTATTAAATTTTCCTTTCCTGGTGTGTCCTCCAGTACATGCAGACTGCTGCCACCTGCAGATGCAAACACTACTACAGTAGCATGTTTCAGTGCAATAATAAAATGCTTAAATAGTAAAATCTCCTGTTTTTTGTTCACACAAATACTAGAAGTCTAGAATCCTAGATAGAGTGCGTTCCTTGTGCTACAGTGTTTCCTGTGCCCGCTGCTGCAAACACTAGTACAGTCTAAACATGCTTTCACTGTATGGTAGTTATTTTCTTCTCTAAAAAAAAAAGAGGGCAACGGCCTTGAGATATCATCTTCGAGCTGAGCGGCCCTAGGTAATTCAGAACTATTTGATTCTGTTCATCTGATTGCGCATCTGGATTCCATCTCCGGTCTATATTTCAACAGTTCACTGAGTGTACCAACTGACCTAGGCCAGTTGGTAGAACTTGGTACCTGTATGCCAGTATTTTGTTTTAGACTGTGAGTCGGACTGTGACCATAAACGTATGTGAAGTTGCAAACCGACTACAGTAGCATGTTTTCTGTGCAACAGTGCAAGCAGAAATGGTTGAGTCGTAGAACGCTATGAAATGTTGGGTGAAGTTTTGACGAAGATTCTGTGAAACTTCTAGCTTTTTGGACTATTTTGAAGATAAAGCGGCCTGCCTCATGTATGTAATCGCAGTGTTGGACCGCTATCATGTTGAAAGAACCAGGATTCATTCAACCAACTACTGGAGAAACCGCAGAGCGGAAAGCACAGAGGTCGCATCCTATTTCTGCCAAAAAAAGGTGTGCAAGAAATTTCCAAATTTGACATGCTTTTTTAGACGTCGTTTTGGTCCATTCCTATCTCCACCTGCCTACCCTTAGTGTTGGTAGAACCCTCCTCTCTTGGGGACATCACCATGGCTGCAAATGTTGTTAAGGCACATTGTGTGTCTCTTGCTGCTCCTAAACCGCTGGCATCAGATTCCTCCACCCGGAAGTCGCGAACGGCAGGTCATTCACATCGCAAAGACTCTCCCTCGCCCTCCTCGTGCTCCACCTTTTATGCCTTTGAGACGGTTTCTGCATTCTGGGGTGCGAATGACGGTAGACCACCCATCCCACGGACGCTGAATGGGATCCAGGCCCACCACAGTAATCGTTCCCGCCAAAGTTTTGATCTTCATCCACCAAGGATTCGCTCATGTGCTGAAAGTAGCAGGCAAGGCCATGCCTTGTGCTCACGCGTGTCGCCACACTCACATTTCATCCTGGGACAGAATGCCCTGATAATAGTGAGTGAGACATGGAACAGCCAGGGACCGGCAAAGAGGTGGCGTCAAGCTCTGCCAGGATCTCTGAGTTCACCCTCTCCAGGTCGGAGACAGAGTTACCGCCTTTCTGCTCCATCCCTTCCAAATCGCCCCCATTTAGTAGCGACCTCCCTTCGCACTCTAATAGTTGCTCCCAAACCGCTCAGATTGCTCTCAAGATCGGAGTTCCGGTCGACCAGACGAACGAAATTAACAGCCTCTGATGCGTCCTTACACTTGACGAAATCGCAATTGACGTCTACATTCGTTGGGCGATCATTGGTTTCTTTACCCAATAGGCCAAGAGGCCGGGCCCAAAGCTTGCTTCGTCTTACTTCTATGGCCTCCCTGGCTGGAACAGGAAGCTTGGGGACATGGCCACATGACCACTCACAGCAGGGGGGACCGTTTCCGACGCCGAGCGAAACTGAGCACTTAATACCCTCTGAAAGATCTGACGCGAATATGGGAGGCCAAGAGAATGGAGGACAGGTGATGAGTCGGAGGCGGAAACGTCTGATTGCAGGCATCGATCAAAGTGAACTATTTCAGCCTGCGGATTTGGCTGAGCCGGATAGCCGCTTTGTGGACTTTTTGGGCGTCAAGCTGCACTACAAACTGGCAGCTCCCGATGGAGGAGGAGGTGGAGGAGACAGCCCTCCTGCTGGCCATCGGGTGGAGCCCTCTGCCTCAACGATCACCTCGTGGTTTGACGATGTACAGATTGTTGTTGATGGCAGGGGTCATGGGAATAAAGAAGAGGAGGGGCGAGGGGAGACTCAGAGCGGTGCCAACTTAGGAAACACATTATCTCGGGAGTCAATGGGATCGACAGATTCGACAACTGCAGGAGGCGGACCAAATACAGCTGCAGTGCTGCTGCATGGATTCGGGGCGTCGATTTATTCGTGGCAGAAAGTCTTGCACCCAATTGCCCAGATGGTAAAGGCACCTGCTTTGGCATTTGACCGGCCGGCATTTGGTCTGACAGCCCGGGTTTTCCCTCCCGTGGACACGAACAACGCCGATGATCTCAGTTCTGCCCCGTATTCAACAGCCTTCTCCGCCGTGGCCACTTGGGCCCTTGCATCCAAACTGCTTCTGGCCCAAAAATCTGTTCTTATCGCGTAAGTTCTCTTCTCCCCGCATGACCTCCTCTCCTTCTTCTCCCTATGTTGCCCCACCCCCTGTCCCATGGACATGTTGCTTGCTCCTCTCATAAAAGATCACCAATACCATATGGAGCGTGTGTTGTCAAGCGGCTCAAGCCTAGAAAACACCAGACCCTGGCCTGCCCAGCCTGCCTGAAATGCCATACAATGACGTCGAGTGATTTATGCATATGCTTTTTTTTTTTTTTTTTTTTCGGAAAACATTCCTCAGGGTGCTAGGGGTGTTGATAAGAGCAATCACCCCTAGCCCCTAAGAGAGACTCCGTCTATCTTCAAAGGTCAAATCATATTTCTTTATTTTTAAATGTCTTTCCCTGATGTGGCAGAACTTATCCTACGTCCCTGTTTTTTTTTTGGGGGGGGGGGTTTGGTCGACGGAAATGAGAATGAAAGATCGCAAAAGTTGGGGTACTCGGAATTTGCACTCCTCGGTATTGCCCTTGGGTCCAGTAGGCCGAACCTTTCATTTTGAGGTGCATATATGGTCGCGAGCTCTAGAGGGCTGAGAGGGGTGGGGTCAGCACTGTTGCTTTAAGGAAAAATGTCTGGGACCCCATCCGACTATGGTTGCAAGCAGATCTGTGGGGAATCACCGCTCTTCCTCCATTTTTTTTTTTTTTGAAACACACGTGCCAATCCCATTGCTTATCACCGGCAACTTCGGCAAGCAAAAGAATGTTACAGGGAAGATCACCGGCACGCAAAAGAAATGTTACAGGGAAGACAACAAGTGGTGGTTACGTGCAACCAGGAGACTCTCATTGGTACCTACTACCAAGGCATTGTGAGGCCTTCCTGCCGACTGTCTTCCCCTTTATGATCCCCCTGCTCCCCCTCCCCCTTCCCTTCCCAACTACCCCTTCTCTGTCCCCTTTATCTTGAGATATATTGTCTCTATATCCTTCATGGTCTCCTTATCCCCATCTTTTTTTTTTTTTTTTTTTTTTAAAGGGGCCCAGTGCCCAAGGCTGATATTACCAATGAAAACTGCTGGAGGCCGGGGTCCTCACAGTCTACCCGGAGTGGACGAAACGAACTTGCTGAGAACCGGGCTCAGCGGCCCTCTTATGTTGATGAAAATGATCATGATGGTAATGCTAATGATATTGATGCTAATGATGATGCTGATTCGTGCTCATCTGGCTTCCTAAACCTAAAGTAACTCTTGCCTTCCTTGTACCAGGACATACTTACTCAGAGACAATACCAACCAAACCAAAGTCACCCATAGCTGATCTCTTCGCGCCACTAAGCAGCCCCCCCCGGTTCACCACTGGATTGCCTTCCTCCCTCGGCAAACCCCAGATCTCTCTACAAGACCTCATACGCCTGCGATTTGCAGGTTACAAGGCAACGCCCCAGCTCCGGCCAGCGTCGTTCTGGCATCGGCAAACCAGGGGCACAGAACAGAACAACTCTGCGGATATCAGTCCGGGTTCGACCTTCTCTGAACTCCTATACCCCGGATATGAGCGAAGACTAAATGCTACCTGAGATCCAGAAAACCAGAGAACTTAGGCTAAGACCAATTAAAGAAGGAAAACTTCAGATCCATTCAAAAAACGTGTGTCAACAAGCCTCCCAAGCACGAAACAAATAGGTGAAGCCCATTCAATCCACCTTCAACCATCGCCAGCATGGCTGTTTTCAGCACTAACCAAAGCTCTTCCAGGCCTCTTGCTCCCATCAGGCTAGGTTACAGAGTTGCAACACCTTGCTCCAGCTCCGGCCAGCATTGCTTCAGTCATGACCCCCGATGACCACTGAGACTGCCCCCACAAACAGCCCCCCAGATCTCTACCAGGCCTCACGCCCCCACTAGGCTAGGTCACAGAGTTGCGCCGCCTGGCTCCGGCTCCGGCCAGCGTTGCTCCAGCATCGGTCTTCAAGGGCCACCGAATTTTCAGCCACCCTACGCAGAATCGAGGGTGAAATGCCAGATAACACCTATTCCTACGATTCTCCTTGAGAGGCAAGCCGAATTAAAGAATGCTAAATTAGTTATGCTAGTATTCAGAGATCGCCCCTCCCTCCCCCTCCCCCTCCCCCCTCAGCCCTGTACTGCCTCCGTCGAGGTGAGTCTCCCACTCTCCCTCGGCCCCAATATAGGACCAATCCTCTACCCTACTGTTCCCCAAGGAGCACGCAGTTCCCACCTAAAGCGTGGCCCCCCAACCCTTACCCATTTCTGCCTCCGCCGGGACTGATGTTAACCCACACACCAGGCCCTGCCCCAGAATAGGGCAACCCCCTGCTCCGCCTCTACCTTCTTTGAGACATTCACCCCCCACCTTGTGATGCCCCTGCAAGATAGAGCTCCCCTCGCCCCCCATCTTCTTCCTTCCGATATGAACAACAAACACCACCGTGAGGGACGACCGTCTGATGTTGACAAACTAATGAAGTAATGATGATTATCAATGTGAAGAAAGTGATAGTACACACTGATGATGATGATGATCGTAACGAAGGATGATGATAATGTTGTTAGTGATGATTATAGTAATGAATATAATGGGAATGATGATGATGATGATAATGATGATGATGTCGATGATGACGAATCTGAGAATGATGGTAATGATGATAGTAATGATGGTGATGATAATTATGATGGTGCTCCTGATGCTAATGATAAGATGATGATACCGATGATGATGATGATGATGGTGATGATGACTTCTGGTGATTACGCACAGCTCCTGATGCTAATGATAAGATGATGATACCGATGATGATGATGATGATGGTGATGCTGACTTCTGGTGATTACGCACAGCCACCTGTGCTAACTGAAAATGACGATGGCACTAATGACCGGATGGTGATAAAAGGGGCGAACAGTGCCCATGATGTGGTTACTATGATCAGTATCGCGCAGCACCCCTAATCACGGTGTTAAAGTTTAGACTTACCCTATTAAGTAGTATTAACCACAATGAAGGCAATGATGATGATGAGCAAACCCCCGATGATGATATCTGTCATTTGTAACACTTGCTGCTGATGAAAGACCTCTCCCTGTTGCTTGGTGCTGTTGCTTGTATGGCGCGAAGATGAAAACAGTCCCACTCACCCCACTCCTTATCCCCCTCCACTCCTCCTCCCATCTCGTGGGACACACGAGTACTCTTCTCCCTCTTGCTGCTAGCCGACCTCCTCCACCAAATTGTGCAAGATGAAGAGCACAGATGATTCCTCCCGAAGCGAGGCCCAGTGAAAAGCCACACCTCGCCTCTCACGGCATGCTAGCCCGCAGCATCGCCGTGGGAGGCACAAGACAGCGAGATGGCGCTACAAGCGCTTTCAAATGTTAGGAGATAGAGAGTTGAGATGTTCACCCATCGCCGCAGTGCCTAACACGACCCAGCAACTCACACCGTCGCCGCACTTTACCGCTCAGCACCACTTGGCATATACACGCGCCGTCACACAACACCCCTCAGCAGCACTGCCCACGCACCGCGATGCCCATCGTCGCCACACGTCACCGCGCAGCTACACTTGTCATGACCGCACCGCGCCCTCCCACTTCTCCATCGCTCGTCGGCGGGATCGTGTGGACGGGGCGCAGCGCCCCCGGACGCGCTGCGCCCCAGCAAGGTCTGTAGGGTCCTGTCCCAGGTACAGTTTATGGGGTCCTCCTCCTTACCCCCATCTGACCTTCCTTTGTTTTCTGTTACTTCCTCACTCCCCCCCTCCTCCCTGGACTGCTCCCTTCTTTTCCCTATATTTGTTCTCTCAACCTCGTCTCAACAATGATGCTATTACATCTTTCCTCATCATTTGTCATGGATAGAGGTTGGTCACTCGATGTTCATTCATACCTGTGTCTCATCATAAGCAAACACCATAGAGAATGGGTTCTTGAAGAAAAGGACCGAAGTTCGATCACCTCTTGTGGCACTTCCTCCTCGTTTTCGCCGGTGAACTGCTGGGCGAGCATCTCTTCAATGTCGTACATGTACTCCATAGTGCAGTTCTCAGTTCTCACCAAAACTGACCATCGGCCGACATGAGATCGAGGCCCCGAGCGGGAAGATGGAGAGCTGGAGGGGATGGATATGGTGAGAGCAACTGAGAGAGGAGCGAGACGAGGAGGGGGATAGATCGTCAGGTTAACCGCAAATGATGAGGTAAGCGCGAGCGGAGGAGAGCTTAGTGGGACCAGAGGAAGATCGGCATGGATCCCGTGCATGGGCAGCGCAGCGAGAGGGCAAGACGCAGCCCTTAGTCGAACAATCCTCATACGACCTACCGCCTCGTATCCTCGCAGAGACAATTGGCAAGGCGTACGAGAGATTGCCCGAGGGTACCGGGAGAGTAAGTGAGGACTACACTTGTTGATGTCCTCAGGTAGATAGGATCACCCTGGCCGAAAAGACGTCATTACCAAGGTCAATCTTAACTGTGTTCAGCTTGGCTTTTGGGGGTACCCATTTCACTTGTCCTTGCAACTCCCCTTTTACTGTACCTTTGATGTACAAGGCTTGCCACATGGATTGTGGTTGAGCGTGAGCTGCCCGCATCCCCGTTTGCCATAATGGCCCACTTGCACATTATGAAAGGAGGCAGAGTAAATGTGGAGTTATATTCCGTTTCATTTTTCCTTCAGATCTCCAGCTTATATTTTGTCTGTTCTCTTGATGATGCTCATCTGTATGCATTTACTAGTAGTACAGAAGAGGAGGGACAAAGGAAAAAATAAGACGTGGAGTTCTCACGGGCTTCTAAGTACTCACCACTGGACCAGACTACTCTAGAATGGCACATGAGGCCAGTCAGTATTTGGGTTGCATAAGATTTTAAGTTGAGGAGCAGCCGGGCCTTGCCTATGGTAAATGGCCACCCCTACAGACCGGGCAGGACCAGTTCGGGTATGGACTGTGGAACCACCGCGTTCGATTCTTGCAGTTGCAGTTGCTGCATCGAATAGGGCGTAGACATGTCACAGGCTACCTGGATGGCTCCTACATGCTAGGAACACGGAGGCATGCCGACCGCAATTGTAGAGATTGCCGTTCCAGCCCCTGTCTACAGATTGGACACAACATGTCAGGGTGCTGTACATGAGTTCAGCATTGACTGCCGTCATACGTGTGAAAACAAAAACTCGCATGGGCGATCCCTTCATAATCCTCACGGCACAAGCCATGTGAACCACATGCTATCCGAATCTGAGGTGGATCATCACAGAGCGGCATCGAGCAGGTTTCTTGGGTTTCCCCAGTATTTGTTCGCTCTCTATGGGCAAATGACAACGGGGATTGATCCAAAGCAAGGGTGTTTAGCTGCCGCAGGATTTGGTCTGCAACAGCTCGCCCTGGTGGTGATAACCGTTCAGTACAGTGTTTTGTAGATTGTTCATATGGCAGTCTATTTTCCTCCTCAGGCTGCTGTGCCTGTCATCCGTCTGGCAAGGACGAAGGAGATCCGAGTCATCCTACTGCCATTGCAGCAGGTGTGTGTGTGTGTGTGTGTGTGTGTGTGTGTATGTGTGTGTGTGTGTGTGTGTGTGTGTGTGTGTGTGTGTGTGTGTGTGTGTGTGTGTGTGT